ATCATGTGAATGATTCTGAACAGCTGAGGGAACTGGGGTTGTTTAGTCTGGAGAAGGCTGGGGGGGGACAGGACCTTATCACTTTCTTTAATTACCTGAAAGTTGTAGTGAGGTGGAGGTTGGTCTCTTCTCCCAGGTAACAAGCAATAGGACAAGAGGAAACAGCCTTAAGATGTGCCAGGGGAGGTTTAGATTTGGTACTAGGAAAAATTTCTTCACAGAAAGAGTGATCAGGTATTGGAACAGGCTTCCCAGGGAAGTAGTGGAATCACCATCCCTGGAAGTGTTCAAGAACTGTGTAGATGAAGCCGTTAGTAACATGGTTTAGTGATAGTCTTGGCAGTCCTGGGGTAATGGCTGGACTTGATGACCTTAAAGGTCTTTTCCAACCTAGCTGATTCTACGGTATCCCGAAACGACGACTTTTGCAGATTGTGTCCACCACATTTGTCTGTGAACAAAGACGACTACTTATCTCTCAAGAGATCCAGACAGCATACCTCTACAGTTAAACGGGGGGGGGGGGGAGGAGTTTATCCTCATTTGCAAATCTCCTGAAGCTATCACCTAAGGAATTTCATCCCCAAATTCAGGGGAGCAGGAGAGTTGAAGTGGGGGAGAAAAGAAGAAAGAAGGGGAAGAAATGGTAGTCAAATACTCTCCATTAAAACTAGCTGAAAACTTTTCATTCTTGATAGCAGTAATTACCTTCTTGCACCCCCATATAACAGAAAGCAGTTTTCCCCTCACAGAGGACACCTCCCCCTGCCAATTTACATAACATCCAGCATTTGAAGACAAATTTAAGCTTTTTCTCTAAGAAAAGAATTGTGACTGAAAATATGCAAATAAACCCATGACAGCAGCATCTCTCCAGAAGCATTTGTCAAGCAGAGTTATACTAGAAGTATGATTACCTGCTCTAGTACTACATTAGCACAAGTACAGCTGTTTTTCATTACCCAGATTTAGGGTTTTCAACTGCTGTTAATATTTAACAGATAACATAGTAACAGAATTCTGATATGTAATCAAAGTTATAACATCAACCTTGAGCCATGATACTTTTGAACTATGTAACATTTACATCTATGTAAACTATCTATGCTTGAGAAAAGCATTAAGTAGGTTTACAAGTCCTGCTCTCAACAGCAACATCAAGAGTGCTGGGGCACTGCCTAATGGTAATACACATAAAAATTGTAGTCTTATAAAAAAGAAATCTTGAGCAGGGGTTTATTTTAACAGCAGTACCAAGTCTGAATAGCTTTACTGCTCTGCCTATGCAATAAAGTGATTAGAGTTCAACCACAATCACGGACAGCTACCAACAATTTCACAAACAATACTCCTAAACCTTTGGTAGGATTTTCAGGTGTTACCAAATTAATAATGAAATTACAGTCAAAAACACATTGCAGTAGTAGAATTAAATACTAACCCCTCACAATTCCTTTAGAACACCTACCTATTCAGCTTCTGAAACCATGGCAGTATCTTGGGCTTTACAGTTGAATCTAGAATTTTTTGTTTTGGGGGGTGGGGGAGGGAGAATTTTCAGTGAAAAAAAAATTAAAAAAAAAAAAAATCACATACTTCCTACTAATAATTGGAGATAGAAGGTTTAAAAAAAATTCAATCAAAGAAAATGTTCTCCATGTAGAGAAAGCTTCAACTACAAAGGTCTTTCTGATGTGCCATTTCCTTTAGCAAAACTACTTAAGACCTTCTGACTGGCTTGAGAATGATCCATCATTAGGAAAGAAAGAGGATTAACACTTTTCTGACGTGCAATCTTTCGCATAGATGATTTTTAGCATGAATTCAGCTTAAGTGAGTTTTAACAGATATAGGTCTCTCCACTGTAAGAGACTTTGAGCTGCAGAACTACTTTGACGATGGACCACCAGGTACCAAAGGCAAAGCAGGTAGCTCAGAAGAAATTATGGTTTGGAAAACATGGAGATTTAAGAGTAACAAAAGGAACCATGAGATGTTAAAAACTATACAGAATCCACAACGTAAGATTTTGGCTGAAAACAATCCACTCTTTCAAACATCTCCCCAATCAGCTGCATGAGGTATATATTCTGAAACATCACAGAAAAGTATGAAAGTATACATTCCCTGTTCCCAAAATTTCCAAGGTGTAACTCAGCAATCACAAAAGCAGAGGACAGAGAAGCACACTTCCTTGAGGAGAACGTAGATAATAGCTAAAGAGAAGTGTTCTTTGATGAACAAGCTATTTTATTTATGATTTTTATTTTTAAGCACCTACAATCTTACCTACAGAAGAGGCACAGGAAGCATATTCAATTGCTCCTAAGCATTCTATTACTGCTTCTGGATCTTCTGTTCTTTATTAAAGAAAGAATACCATGGGTTTACATAAAAAGTATATTAGAGGGCACAGGGAGAACACTGGCCTGGGTACAAGGTTTTAATGTTCAGTTAATACACATTCATCTCATTCTCTTGAATCAGTGCGAATGGGTGCAAACCTACACCCACTCTTATCCAAGCATCTACAAATATTTTAAAGCCTAATAACATAACACAGATGCTGTTTTTCAAATCTCTTAGTTAGAAAAGGGAAATAGCTTTCAATCTCTTAGCAAAAATTACCAGATTCACTGGAAATTCCTATCCATCTGAAGTACATTTACAGAATTTCATACAGCATTTACAGACAGTAAAATAAAATGTCTTCAACCTGAAGACCACTTCCACAACCACCAGGTATGAAAAAACCACAACATTTTCACCTCTTTAAGGAACACCAGTACTAATTGATTATGTAAACAACCGCAGAAAATAGTTCCCTATATAAATAAATTAATAAAGACAGAAAAACAAAACCCCCACTCCCCAACACACACACAGAGTAGTTGGAGACTGCATACTGGAGAAGGACGAACCAGATACTTTTACGCCTGAATTCTAGGATTTATTGAACCATTGGCAATACTTTTAAGTATACAGCCTGGGCAGACATTTTTCAGACTGAAGAGGGGAAAAGAAACTTCTCTTCCAACAACGATATTAGAATCAATTGATCAGATATGATTTTAAACCAAAACAAGTCACAGTTAAAAAAAGAAACACTGCTGTACTGCAAGCTAAAAGCTTACATCATCTTGCCATTATGAACATAAAACAAAAACTTACTGTTAAATTTATTTATTTTTAGACCTATACCAGGACTACAGATACTCTAAAATTTTAGGCAAGTAGAAAATAGTTTAGTAATTGTTAAATACCAGAACAATTCATGTGTACTACTGGAATAACCACCAAAACAATGTCATTAACATGAAAAGCAGTCCGAATTGCAGACAGTTTCCTGCTCGTTTAACAAAGATTAATTCCACCTTCCAAGCAAGAGAAACATTCGTTTTACCTCACCGAGAACAACCCGAGCAAGAAATAAAAAGACGGCCTTTGCTGCTTAACCGTTCTGTTTAATAAGTAGGCTAGGTAATGTCAACAAGATCACTACTCTGTGCTCTAGGCAAAAGGATCTTAATAGGAGGACGTGGAAGAGAGAGACAGACATGAAGAGCAGATGCCACCAAGTCTTTCAGAAACTGTCACTGGGGGGGGGGGAAATTTCCCTACAAAACATATTCCTGAATAAGAGGAATGTTGCTGGAATAACTCAAAAATAAGGCATGAGGAAAAGATGAAAGATGCATTTTCTACTGCAAGAAAAAACTGTTAGAAGAAAACATGTTATGTTTCAAGAGGAATAAATGGTATACCCTGATTAAAAAATAAAATAAAATTAAAAACCCCAACCACCAACCTTCTGCCTGTCCTTAACCTGCTCTGTTGTTTCTCTGGTTAAAACATAAAAGATTTTTTTCTGGTTTATTTCTGGTAGCGCTCGCCATTTCACAGCACATTTAGCATACACGGAATTGATCAATACAGCTACAGACATAAGACTAGACTATCCATTTACTAACCACAAGAAAACGTCCTGTTCAGCAAAATCCCGTACCTTATAACACTGAAATCTTAAAAGGCATTGTTATACGGATCTCAAGATTCCCTCACACCAGCTACACTGAAAAGCTGAGCGCTTGTCTGCTAAACAAGTGTACATTTGCACACGCTGCAAGAACATCAAAAAGTGTAGCTCAAGCTACACAGAGGACTGTACACACATTCCAAATAGAAAGTGCCTGGCTTGCCATGTAGCTACTACTACAGCCGTTAGATAACTCACAATACGGGTGTTTGGGGGGTTTGGTTTTTTTTTGTGAAACTGATGGGAGCTTCAAACAGAAACATACCAACAGTTCTCCCCAACCACTGGTTGCTGCCATAACAATTTTCCTCTTAAAGAAGCATGAGGAAGTCCTCACACACCCTAGTTCCTCAGGACGCTGCTGTTTGAAAAGTAGTAATGGGTTTTTCGCACTACAAGGCAGTGACCTCCTGAGTAGCAAAATACAAAGCGTTACAAATGATTGCTCAGAACCTGAAAGTCTTCCTTTTCAGCCCAATTTTTCGCATGCATCTACACATGCTCACAGCCCTCAACATCATTAAAAGACGAGCTAACACTGAGTATTCTAAACTAATAAGCATTAATTAAGGTTGCCATTTACCAATGAATGGTCCGGAATAAGAGATCTAATTGAAGTTAAGAGTACTTCAGTTGGGTTATTCTTATTTAAAGAAACACCACGAAACGCTAATAATTGCATTGCCGGATTACTGTGTGTGACACCAGGTGGTTATGTCTCCACATTTGTTCAACACAATTGATCTGAAATCCAAACGCTGCACGCGTTTGAAGTGCTCACATTATAAATTCTTAAGAGTAACAATGAAAATAGCTTCTGCCTTTACAGCCACTGACAAAAAAAGAAAAACAAAAAACAACAAACTTCTTCTCGTTTGTACTAATCGATGAGGTTACCTCAAGCTTTCAAGTGCTGACCCAAAACCTTACATATAAAGAGGTAAGACCGGGAACATTCACTTACCTGAAGAACAAGAGATAAGAAAAACAGCGAACGCCAACTTAGTAGCAGCTCCCATTTTCCAAAGCTGTTAAAACATTTAAGTGACACTAAGTATCCAGCTTCCTGGGTCCTGCAAGGTGGGGAGATCACCCTTCTTGCTGAACCGTTATAAAGCAATCTGTAGCAACATAATATTGCTATAACAGCAGATAATGTTCATAAAACGGTAAAATCAGATTTGTTTAGACACTGATGATTTCCCTCCGTTTCTTTCTGGCTAGAATCCGGCTTGAGGGATGGATATATTTGGAACTGTGTTTCAAAACACACGTGTCGTTTGGCTTCTGTACGAACAGTGGCAAAAAAATTCATAAAAGTATTTTACGAAACAACTTAAAAAAAAAGAAAAAATATCAACAGTTAAGCTCCGTGAAGCATCCCTCGTGGGTGCCAAGTGTCGGGAAGTCGTATCGAAGTCAGTAAACACGACGTTTTCGTCCTGGCTCCCCTTATACAACGCGTAGTGTTTGGGAGAAGAGTAGCTTCATCTCAGTTTCAAACCTCAAAAGCCTCCGGGTGAAGGGAAGAGTTTTTGTCAGTTTCTTGATGAAAACTACCTTTAAAACCAGAGAGCCACCAGCTACACCTGGGCAACACTTTGGTTTTCCTTAATAATGCTGAGGGATTTAGCGTAAACAAAAAGAGAAGAAAAGGAAAACCAGCAGTCTCATAACGAACCAACCTTCGGGCTTCCCGAGAAGAGGCAGATCTCCAGTCCTTCGCTAGTCAGTCAGAGCCGCACATCTCTTCTCTCCCCCGTCACCGCGGTCCTATCTCCTGGGCCGTGCAACAGCAGCACTCCCGAATCCCAGCAAGATTTCAGATTCTTCTAAGAGATTTCCATCCCCTCCCCCCCCACCCCCAACCCCCCCACCCCCCCCCACGAGGCTATATTTGGTATTTAAACACAGAAGAGCGACTGGAGAAGAAAAAAAAAAAAAAAAAAACAATTAAAATGCAGTATCCAGCCGCTGGGGAGAAGGATGGTATATTCTTTGTGGCAAATCCTTCCTTCCTTCCTTGCCGTGTTTCCAGGAGAATTCAGCTTCTTTGGAAGCGAGAAGGCGGCGAGTAAGACTGCGGGCACCAGAAGGAAGGATGCAGCGGGCAGCTCTGTGCTGGCCTGGCGGGCGGCGGGTTTCCTCCTCCCGGGAAGCAGGGCTGGGACTCGCCTCCTCTCTGAACTCCTCACGGACACATCGGTTCCTCGCCGCACGCCCGCCCGCACGGAGACCAGCGACGGTCCCGGCCGTCCTTGCAACTCAATCCAGTCCTTGCTTTTTCCTTTTTTTCCTTTTAGGAGAAAGGAATAAGAAATAGCAGGGGTGGGAAGGAAACGCCTGCGGGGCGCCTGCTGCCTCCTCCTCGTGCCTCCCACACGGCGAGCCCGGGCCAGAGGGCGGCGGGGGAAGGAGTCCCCTCGTCACTCTGTCCCCTAACTCTGACCCCGGCTCACTCCCAATTCCGAGGAAGCCACAGCCGAACGCAACTCTCTCGTCTCCCGGACGGCGGAGGCAGCGCGGCTGAGACCAACTTTGTCCCTCCAGGAGTGCAGTTTAGGGGTTGGCGAGGAGAAAAGGCCGAGCCCGGGGATTTTCTCTGGGTGACGGCGGCGGCAAGAGCCGTTTCTAGAGTCTCCCGAGTCCAGCTGGCAGCTCGGCACAGCCTTCCGTACCCTGCTGCTGTTGCTGCTCCCCTGTGGTAATTTCATATCTACCCATTCACTTGCGTGGCGTGGAGAACGGACCCAAGATGGCGGCACCCGGACGATTGTTTTTGTTTCCTCTCCTCCTCCCCCTCCCCCACCCTCCCTTCCTTTCCCACAATCACGGCACCCCGTCGCGCGACGCCGGGCGGCCGCGCGCCGCCCCGGATTGACAGCCTCCCTACCCACTCACGGCCTGGCGGCCGCCGCCTAGACCCGCCCACTTCCACCCCCGGCGGGGCGGGGCGGGCGGCGCGCGCTCCCTGCGCCCCTACCTGCCCGCGAGCGCGCCGCCGCGCAACGCACGCAACAAGCGCGCCCGTTCGTGCGCGCCTGCTCCCGCCTACCCTCCCGCCTCTGGGCGCGGCCCCTCTCGCGTCCTCGCTGGACACCGTCCGCTTGTGTCCTGCCCGCCGTGCGGAGCGAAGGGCGCTGTGGGCCGGTTTCTGTCGCCTCTCGCCTCGGTGACGCCCCGAGGCCACCGTCGTGCAGTGCCGTGAGGGCAGGTGTGAGGGACGGACACAGCCGCACAGTGCCCCGGCACCTGCTCGCTGCGCCTGGCCCTGTCGGCGCCGGAGGGGGAGAGCTGGCGCCTCCCGGTCCCACCCTCCCTGTATTATTAATCCACCTTTGCGGGGCTTGCTTTTGGTGTTCGGGAGCTTTTTTCCCTGAGCGCGGCCGGTCTCAGGTGTCAGATCACTGTGCAGGAAAAATCAAACCACTGTGAGAGCCGGTGTAAAGCTGTGAGTTGTTACCAGTGGTGCGACAGCTGCTTTCCCGGCCCTCCGTCTCCCACCCTCAGCCTGGAGCGGCTCTGGGGAGTCCTGGCGGGAGATGGGCATGTGGTGATCGTACCCGTGGCAGACGTGTTCCTCAGAGTAATGGCCACAACGTCCAGGGTGTGTTTTACAGCCTTGCCTTCAGATGCTGTCATGCCAAGGTTCAACGTTAATAGGTGGTTGTACCAAAGCGCCTCACGTGCAATTAACTATGTTCGCGCTGGTCACTAAGAAGCGCTGGGTGCTCAGCTCGCATGGTGGCCACGCCTCCGGCCTCTGGCACCTTGCCTCAGCCACCGGCCCGATCACAACAAACTTGTGTTTCCTATCATTGTCCTTTGGCTGCTGCGGACCAATGGCTTGCAGTATTTATTTGCAGCGAGATAGCTTTTAGAAGTTACCCGGGCGGGCACAACACCGCATTGTTTTACGTGCTGTGCAAGAGCAGAGCAAACGGTTTGTACTCCAGAAAGGCAGCTATAAAGCAGCACATGTGCTGAGTTTGAAATAGAGGACTGAAGAGAGCAGGATGAATCATTTCCCAGTGTTTTCACCTTTTGGGTAAGATGTGTGTACTTGTGGTACCTCTAGCTAAAACTCTTCTGTACTAAATTACCTCCATTAAGGACAGAGATTCTGCTCCTGTCTGAGTTTGGTGGCACTCCCTACGCTTCTGTGTGTTTTTTTTTAAATGGATGCCATAAAATATTTAATTTGTTTCTGATCAAAAAGGAAGACATGCCTCTTAGAGCACGAGATCCATGCAGGAAAGCATAAGGCCATTAATGCTGGCCTTTAATTTCTGTATTTTATAAAGGCTTGTGTTGTACAAGCAAGAAGTACCAAGTTCTCTGAAAACTCGTTATGTTGTTCACTAGCACCAGATAGGTCTCAAGTGTTTCCAGGTACCTTCCTTTTCAGTCTACTTAATAGCAATGTCTTAGGGTTTTTTTTTGTGATGTGAATACTAGGTGGTACTAGATTGGAAGGAATAGTATGCATAAGATATTTCACATATGTGAATAAACAGCAGTCTGAGCTGTGCTAATTCATCAATTAATAGAGGCATTCAATTTCTAGACCTGAAGAACTAGCACTTGGATTCAGACATGAAGAAATGTAGGTATTTAAGTATATTTATATTGAGGTGGCTGCTCGAGTTCTTAATCAGGATTCGAGCATCCTTGGTGTTTCTCTGCTGTGTTCAAACACCAACACTTAATTCATCCAATGAGGATATTTTTGATGATTTGAACCATCCAGAAAAGCGAAATAAGATGGAAGGGATTGGACGCACCTTGAAGCATCAAGATGTGGCAACACTTTTTATGCCATCTTTTATCCAAGTATTTCAGAATGATTTATAAGCATTAATTAATGTAAGTATTACAACACTCCTACTTAATCTGCAGGTTTTAATATTCTTCAATAGCAGAATATTTAAACATGACCTGTTCTGCAGGTTGTATTTCACTTGGCTCAGCTTCTTCAAAATGCTCGTCATGTTGCCACATGAGTAGGAAATTGTAGCTAAAAATATTGCTATTGTACATGTGTGTGATTATATATATATATACTTCCCATTGTAGGTATCTGGCTTTTTTTTTTAACTGACGGAATATAAGTTATGGTCCATACTCATGTTTTACCAATTATTTTTAATGAAAAATAGATTAAATATGTCACCTATGTAACATAATTTGCCTGAATGTCATAGTAAGGTGTCTCTTATTCAAATAGCTTATTATTCTTAAGCATGGGTGGTTTTTGGCTTGCAGGATTCTTTTAACAGAGTAAAGACTTGTGGCCATCCGGGAAATACTAGAAAGCCAGTAATAGTCTAAGGTTAGTCTTATCAATCACATGTTTATCAAGGCCACAAGAATCACAAATGAACCTATCCTTCTCTTTTTTTCCTTCCCAATTCTGAGGCTGAGTGGGAGCATAGCAAGTGGTATATGAATTAAGATGACTACTGGAAACTAGGATCAGGGACCCTGCTCAGACTTCCGTGCTGCTCCAAAAGCATCAGCCTCCTTTCAACCCCACTGGTGCTGCATATAAGCCTTGCATCCTTCGTAGACCTACATAATGTAGCATGTGAAAAGAAATAAGGAGAGGTACAAATATACTCAATTTTTATACGCAAATAATAGGAAACAGTTCTGGTGCATGGATGTAGCACCTTAATATTGTTTCAGTTATGTCATTATAGGTGCAATATCAATAGAGCTATCTATATCTGCATTAGGGATTTGCTCCTATTTAATTACATTAAAGTAAAACTAGGTAATTCAGTGCTAATGTTGTACAGGCCTCAGCAGAAATTGCCTACCATCTTTTTGTGAGGTACTTGATGCAAAATGCTTAAGGCTTTGGTCTTTCTCCAGGCTTTTGCTTTTATTGCTAGTAAAAGGATAAGTTTTATCCCAAGTAGGCATATTAAATGTCAACAGGGTTGTTGTCTCCTCTTTCTTTTAGCTATCTTTTTGCATGCCTTTCTCATGTGGCTTTTGGGGGTGTTTCCATTTTCTACCTTTTGGCTTCTCATTTCTATTTTCCTTTCGCCTTAAACTCCAGATCTTTTTTCCCTCTTCTCAGATCAATCTGTCTATGCATTTTTAATGAATCATTTACTGTGACATATGAGCACTGCAGCTACAGTGTCAGGGACTTAAGCATCTGCGGAGAGCTTCTGTGCTGGGGTAGCAGCAGCGAGATGAAATGGATGTGATCTTAGTTTCATCCTTTTTTGTTCACGTGGGATGGTACTTTGCCTAGAGGCAGCACAAATATAACTTTCCTTCTAGGGAAGAATAAGAAGAATCAAAACCCAGAGATGTCTCATTTTTCTCTTCAGAGCACTGCTATGAATAGAGGATTTAAACTGTGTCTCTGCTATTCCACACTTAACCACTGAGTCAATGCTCTTCTTGTAGAAACACCATTGTAGGTAAGAGGCTATTGTGCAGCACTCATTCATATTATCTATACGAGCATTTTTAAAATGTAGAATGGGAAACATGGGGTTTGTAATATCAGGAGTAACATTAACAGATATAATCCTTGTCATTATCTCATTTATCTTCCCTTATGGTCCAAGTAATTCTCGCTTTGAAGTTGTGAAGGAAAGAGGACGACCTTTAGACGCTATCTTTACATAACCAAAACAAAAATGACCAAAGAGGCAAGAAATGGATCTCTTTCAGGGATCTCTTCCTTACCAGTCAGCTGGTAGAAAGTGCAAATACTGGAGGGCAACCTAATTAAAAAAAAAAAAAAAAAATAAGTAAATAAGTGAGTTAAAGTTATTTTTAATTTGACAAGAGTATGCATAATTTATGTGAAACTCATGATGTTTTAAAAGATTTTTAATATAAATTTTCAGTTTTATTGCTGTGGACAGATAATAAAATCACTTGCCTCTTTTATGCTTTTGGATTGGGTCAGTATATACGTCAGTCAAAGTTTTCTCCTTTTAAGTTTGTAATTAAACATAAATTTTGCTTGCAGCTGTTGGGTCTAGCTGATATCCACAAAGGCAAAGTAAAGTACATGCTGAAATCATAGCCTGATTTTGGATTTGGGTATTTTAGTGTTTGGCTAAAGTGCGCTCATTTTATTAATATATATTATGTATGTATATTATGTGAGCAGTACTAATAACTACAAATGAATAGGATTTGGCATGTATCATATTATGCAAAGCTATTTCTATAGCGAGTCTGTGTGTGTGACAAATTCCTTTTTAATATAATCACATGGACCTTGTAGACCCACACTAAGTTGAATATTTCCCTGCTTCAAGTTTAAAAACAAACACATAGATATAAAATTTTACAGAAGCTAACACTCAAATATAATCTCCATCAAGTAATTTCCTTTAAAGGCTACATTTATACCAATGATTATTTTTCTTTTTCTGACCTGCTATCCATTTTTTCTTAAAATACTTGTGCAGAGAAGCGAAAATATCTACCCTATTTTCTTGGAGGACAAAGTGATGTTTCTTTCTAGGATTTGCACTGTCTTGTCAGAAACGATCATCTAGCTAGAGCTTCCAGTTGCTTTCAGACACTACATTGTCTCTTAGAGGCAGTTTGTTGTGTCACAGTTTTTTATTACTATGGCATTTATCATGTATGATTTCATACATATTTCACAGTAAAATTAATTTTTCTAGATATTGAGCTATAGTCCTCATTCATACTGTACAATACTTTTTGTGAAGTGCCATGACAAGTCCAAGATGAATTCTTGAATCCCTAGTCTGTATTATCAAAACAAGGTCCATGTAGAGATTTTCCTTCTCAGAATATAGTGTGATAATTTATATACCCCTTTATAAATGTACTCTGTGTTCACAGAAAGCAAATGCTAAAACATTGTCATGTTTCCACCATTATTTTTGATGAATTCTTAAAATGTGGCATTTTCTTTTGCTATAGTGTCCTATCAACAATACTAGAATTTAAAGAATATATCTTTCCCACTTACTTAGAAAGTCTTTATACATGCATTTATTTGTTGATAAAGAATTACATACTTTAGACTGTCAATTTGTACTTAAATAGTCGTAAGAAATGGGCAAAGTGGTCAAGTGAGGAGAGATTTTCAGATATTTAAATTGTGCTCTCTTTAGAATTATGTTGTTAACATGACTTTTGATTCTTTTGAAACAAGGAAAATACATAGATGAAATTACTTACAATGCCATCCCAAGTATACTAGAAGCTTTCTATAGTGACTGAAGAGGGGGACCAAGAGAATTGGCTCATTTTCCAAGCTGTGATGTGTGGTTTAGCTTCAGAATTTAATTACAAATTGTGTGTTTATATATATAAAATATATATAATTATTTTTTGTTCTCTGTTTAGAGAAGCACAAGAAAGTCAAACACACTGTCACAGGTAATGCATATATGTTTTTCATAAGCCAAAAACATTTTATCAAAACTACCTGAAGTGTTCTGTTTCTTACTAGCAGAAACTTTTTATGGGAGCTGATGAAAAGCACAGTACTAGTGTCAGGTAGCCAACCTAGGTTCTAGAGAAAATTAGATCTGTTTTGCTCATTGAATCAAAATGAAACACATTGAAACGTGCCCTGGGGGGTGGGTGGAGAACTTTAAGAGAGTGGGCTAGTTACAGAGCTGTGATGTGCAGTTTGGGTTCAGGGTTTGGCAGAAAATTGCATACATGCATAGGAATTTTTAAAAGAACTGACAACAGATCTTGTCCTCTGACTTTTCAGTCCTGAATCTTAAAATGTTGAGTTCTTCTGTAGCAGTAAAATTCATAGGATGTTAATAGTCGACCAACTGAAATTAAAAAGAAGAAACAAAAGCTGAGGGAAAAGAAACTCTCAGACACTTGACCAGCTATTTGGAAGTCAGAAGGTGGGTGCCATTGTGTCTGGTGTTTCAGTATCAAGGTGGATTAAGAGAATTAGGGAAGCTTAAACGCGCTCAGGAGAGAGATTCCCATGGTTTTGAAGGCTTATTCTACTGGAACAGTTGCTTGGCTGCAATTTGGGTTGAAAGAGCAGGGTTTTTTTCTCATGGAATTGTGCATAGCACTACCTAGTTTTACAATTTTTTTAAGCATACTCAGAGTTTGAATATTCAGATTACACTGTGTGCTTTGCATTTGAGAAAGCTCAGACAGCACTTCTTGCCAAGTTTCATGGACATTGCCAAGGAAGTCTTCAGGTACTGGCTAAGGCAAGTGAAAGGAAAGAGGCGGGGTTTGTTTTGGGTTTTTTATGCTTGTTTGGTTCATGTGTTTCTTTTCACAATGTTACAGCTAATAGTACCAATCTACTTTGGTTTACAAGCTTTACTGTCATTAAAATATCAGGCAATTCACTGAGTCGTGTAGCTCTTGGAGGGAAGGACTATGATGTGGTTGGATGTTTTCAGCTGTATTAGCTAGCATGGAAGAATTTTATCGAACCATGTTGTCTCTTGCAGTAGTGATGAGAGAAGCCAAATTAGAATGTAAGAACAGACTCTCTCCCTCTCATTTTCCAACTAAATAATATGGAAGCATTCAACTAATCACAGTTTCCGAAGCAGGTTTTATGTAGTTAATATAACTGAGCTGCAGTAACTTTGTGCAACTGCTGAGCATTTTTCCGCTCAGTGTGCAGTATGTAGTATGCTGTCAATTGATCAATTGCTGTGGTTTTTCATAATTACATAATGGAAATTATCCAGATATATGTAGGAGCTGGATAAATAACTGCTTTATTTGTAGAGCTTAGGATCATCAGCATTACACTGCATTATCATGCTGCTTAATATCAGTTATGTGTTTCAGTCTCAGGTGCAAGATTTGCTTTCTAGCATACTGACCATAGTGAACTTGTCAAATATTTAGCAAACAAGCTCCAACCATTTGAAAGAACCTTTTTTCAACTATTATTTTAAAATGATAGCGTGCTGTTATCTTTTTTAGCTGATTCCCACCTGAGAAAAACTTAGTGGAATATGCACACTATATAATATATGCCTGTTTACGTATGTTAGCAGGTGATTATTACTCATCTACATTATTGTTTTGCTTAAACTCTGCTTAAGATTTGTATCAGATAAAGATGTGTTTTTTTTTTGGTGAAGGTTTTTTTACTTATTTAAGTAGCATCTAATTACAACCATTTAATCAAAAGATTCTTAAAAACAGGTAGGTAAAAGAAAAATATGTAAAGCAGGTGACAAATGAGTCAGCATGAAATGTTTTTTTTTTTATGCCAGTTCTAATAGATAGCTCCTAATACCTGGAATAGCTGATACTTTTGGTAGAATTTCTATGTCCATATAGCAATGAAGATGAACTGTTCAGACTAGAATATACAGATGCAGTAAGCTTGTGGCTCCAGAAAAAGACAGCACTTACTGATATATATGCACATGTCCAGTCCGGTGTTCGTAAATCATACAAGAGCATCCAGTTTGTCTGTGGCTAGTGTTACAGTGAAGCAGTAATGGTAAAAGCGGAATGTCATTTCCATCTTGATTCTTTTGATGCGCGTGCTGTTACTTCAGTTTGATTCTCTGTAACCTGTGGAGCTTACTGGAAATTTTTAGCAGAGGCTGAAAGGCTTAAAAGTGGCTTTGTTACTGGGTTGGAAACTTGCAGACTCCAGGCAGTTTCAAAGAGGATCAAATGATGGCAGGACAGGTAAGGGTTAGGGATGTGGGAAGAATGCACTGTTTCATCAGCTTTCTCACAGAAACTGCGTTGTGAGAGGTCTGGTAAGTACATTTATCTTGTTCTCATCAATCACACTGTGATGCAAGTGACTTGGGAATCAGATTTTTGTCCTTGCTGTTGGAACATACAGTTACCTCAAAACTCACATATTTTTTCAAGTTGTTACAGCAATTTTTTAAGGTCTCCTCTGTTAGGTCTCTATGCGGAGCACATGGCAAGGCCATTTATGTGCTTTAACTATTCTTGTGTTCTGGAATGGCATTTGTGGATTATTAGCAGTGTTAGACTATAGCAGATCTATAGTTACACTCATGCTGCACTTCCACAAACACTTTAAGCCAGTATAAGCCAAGAGATGCTGCCCTGCCCTGCCCAAATGTTCATGCAGCTGCAGACTTCATTGCTGGGGAACTGATTTTTGTTAAAACTAGCCCAGTGAACAAACCAAACCAAACCAAACAAAAAAATTAGCTGTAAACTGGTTTCTGAACTCATTCATTCCTATTCTCTTATGTTGGCTGGAAGGTCTTCACTTTCCTGGTGTTAAGACCACAAGTCTTTTAGTGTGAGGTGTCCCTGCCCATGGCAGGGGGGTTGGAACTAGATGATCTTAAGGTCCCTTCCAACTCTATTCTATGATTCTAAGTGTGTGAAGAAATTCAGAAGCCACTCTTTGGATACAAAGGCTGGTTTAAAGGGCTCATGGAATTCTGGCTTAAATTGTGGCTCCTTGCTAACCAGCCAGACATTCCAAAGGAGTTTTGATGGTCATCTTCTTGCACCCTTACTCCCCAGATGCACTTTGGATACAACTCAGGGTGTGGCCTTGGACTTATTTTGTCTATATCACCTGCCTGCTTTAACCATTTTTCTCTAAAGAACTTCAAGTTATATCTACTGGGATCCAAACTGTGTCTATCCAAAACATGTTTCACACCCATTACAATATTTTTCTATCCTCTAACAACCTCTCGCAACAGATACTTTCTGTTAGGCAGTTATGTTTAGTATATATACAACAATTGGAGAAAAATGCGAGACTTGCATGAATTGTGCTTGTCAGTATTGCAATCTGTTTCTAAG